TTTTTTTTTTTTTTTTTTTTTTTTTTTTTTTTTTTTTTTTTTTTCACTGCCTTATTATTTTTTTTTTTTTTTTTTTTTTTTTTTTTATGTTTTTTTTTATTTGGGGTACATGTCTGTTTATTTTAGAGTAATTTTGCTAAGGCAAAAAAAAAAAAAAATCGCCAAAGATGGCGGTGTCAGATCGTGCTCGCCCACTCATTTTTTTACTTTTTATTTTCTGTTTTCACTTTATTTTGCCACCTAAAAAAAAATATTATTTTTTTACACTTTTTTCATGAGTTTTGTATAATGTGAAGTACACAACTGTAAATTTTTAGGGCATTTGGATCTACCAAAAAAAAAAAAAAAATCGCCAAAGATGGTGGTGTCACAAACGTACTCGCGCACTCACTAATTTTAATTCTCTTTTTTTTTTTCTTTCTATTTTCTGTTTTTTATTTTTATTTCCAATCTGGTAACGAATTTGGATGTAATACTCAGGGAAATGTTATTTATTTTATTTTTCTTCATAACATATATTTTTTTTCGGATTTTTTTTTTTTTTTTTCCCCCGCGGAATTGAACTTCGCGTTCGGTCGCGTTCATTGCATGCACGTGCATTCCGTTCAGTTTCTGAATGGAAAACCCGCGTTCAATGAACGCGCGGTTTCATAGCATCCCCAAGTTGTAAGCAAAGTAACCTCTGCAAACTGCCTCCATAGTACAAATGACCCTTGCAAAATTGCCCTTGCAAAATTGCCCAGGGGACCCATCTAGATGGTAAGTCCGCAATTTGACAGTTAGGGTCCAAGATTGCCTGTCCACCTGCTCTTTTAGGCTGGGTCACAACTTCCCAAGCGACCTTTGGCAAAAAAAAGTATGTCGAGCTATCCTCTTTCCACAGATAATGTGTGGCCAATTGCTTTATGACAGTATAAGTCAGATCATTAAGTTGATTAAGTGCTCTTTGAAACCAGATCGTCGAGAACACTGAATTGTTCGAGACCAAGGATTGACCAAACAAACTAACCCCTTTCTGTGCAACCCATGGAGTAAGCGCCTTCTTGACTGCTTCTATTGCACACAATGTTTTGGTCATCAAATGCAGCACAAAGGAAACTCGATGGCCCAACAATCGCTCGCACTGAGCTGGCGTGACCACTCTCAAACCCCAGTTATCCGGCGGCAAGGCTTGCGGTGGAATAAACAAGGACGTTTTCTCCCAGTTCACCGCTGCTTGTGAAACATGGCAAAAGAGGGAGATCGTATCTTTTCGTACTTGAAAAGCCCCATCGTGAAGTGGTCTAAATGCGACTGAATCATTTGCAAATGCCTCCGTTTTAATAGAGTCCACTTATGGCAGCTGGAACCCAGACACCTGTGGATTTGCCCTAATCATTGCATGCATGACCTCCACACAAATGAAGTACAAATAGGGTGCCACAGGGCATCCCTGGTGCACAGATCTACCCAGCTGAATATGATTAGACAATTTCTCATTGACAACCAATCTAGATACGGCCCCAGCGTGTAATGCACGCACTGCATGTCCAAATCGCCCCCCAAATCCAAATACTGTCATAGCTGCTTGAAAGAATTCTCACCCTACTCTATCATAGGCCTTTTCAAGGTCTACGAGGAGTATCGCTGTGTGAGATTCCCCCGCTGCAACGAATTCAATGATTTGTTCAACAATCATTTTATTGAACATAATTTATCTATGTGTGAGATTCCCCCGCTGCAACCAATTCAATGATTTGTTCAACAGTCATTATATTGAATAGAATTTGTCTATCTTTCATAAAACCAGTCTGTGATGTATGTATCAATGTGGGTAGTACTAGTTGCAATCGCTGAGCTAATATCTTTGAAAAGAATTTATACAAAACCGGCATCAGAGTTATCAGTCTCCAGTTACGAACGTCCGCCCTGTCTCCTTTCTTGTAGATAAAAGACACTATTCCTGTAACCATTTCCACTGGCGGAAGTGCCCCATCAAAAACAGACTGCAACACCGAATTTATAGACGGTAACAAATGCATTTGATATTTAATTTTAGTGAAAAACAGAAGAGGAAGGTCATCTTGTCCCGACACTTTGTGGAGTGGTAAAGTATCCAGTGCCAAACGCACCTCCTCCAATTCTACAGGTCGCTCCATATTTTGCGCTGCAGCGAGGTACAAAAGGGGCCCAACTGCTGCCCAAACAGTGTCCGCAAACTCATGCAGCAGTTGTTGTTCCGTGTGTTGTGCCTGTGATGCAAACAAGTGTTCATAAAATAAAGAAACATTTTGCAGAATCATTGCTGTGTCCGTTGCCACAGACTGTCCGACATCCCATGGATGATGCATAGAGAGCATCAGGGAACGGGATGTCCTCCGCCTGCGGCCCCGGAAAATGGCTGCATTCATCTTGTCTCCTCTAACCAACCACGATATTTTGTTCCGGTAAGTTGCGACTCTGACCGCTGGCAATGCCACAAACGTTACTCTCTATGTAGTAGACCCACCATGTGTGGTGCTCCGCTATGGAGATGGAGGAAGAAGGGGGGAGCGAGATGGCACAACGCAGCTCCCCACGCAAGACTCCAACGCACGTACTCCAAAA